TGAGTTTCAGAGTGCAGGGTTCAGAGATTGCCTGAGGGGCTTTGGGCGGCAGACTCACAACCCGAAATACCTTGAATTCCGAACCCTAAACCATGAAGACCTCATACTCGTTTCAGAGCCCCCCGCCACCCCGCATCCCCTGCAACCACCCTGATTTCTCCACATCCTCAGCCCCCGCTAGCACATCAAAGATCCTAAGCCCTAAGCCCTAAACTGCCCTAAACCCTAAACCCTAAACCCTAAACCCTAAACCCTAAGCCCTAAACCCTAAACCCTAAACCCTAAACCCGAAACCCTAAACCCTAAACCCTAAACCCTAAACCCTAAACCCTAAACCCTAAACCCTAAACCCTAAACCCTAAACCCTAAACCCTAAACCCTAAACCCTTTACTAAACCCTAAACCCTGAATCGGAAACCATCAGGTTCATGGTGAAGCGGCTAAACGCCGCTCAAAAGCAGAAGGGCGGCCTGTGAGGCTGCGGGGCTTGAGGGTTTAGGGTTTAGGGTTTAGGGTTTAGGGTTTAGGGTTTGGGGTTTAGGGTTTAGGGTTTAGGGTTTGGGGTCTTTTAGAGGGTTTTCCACTCAGAGTTCCAGTGTTGAGGGCTTTCGGGTTGCAGGGTTTAGGGTTTAGGGTTTAAGGTTTAGGTTTTGGGCTCAGGTACCTTTCAAAGCCTTTTCGAACCCTCAACCTTTGGGGGGCATCTGCCAGTCGAGGCTTCCTGGAGTGCAGGTCGATCTTTTAACTTTGGAGTTTGGGGATTCGGGTTCAAGGTTGGGATGTTCGCCCTTTTTAAGAGGGATTATCATAGATGTCATAGGGGGTACCAGAATTCCTATTAAGGACTGTTCCTCTAAGATGGAACATCCCAAGCTTGGGGTTTACCATGAGTATTTCATACAGTTCAAGTCCACGGTTTTGGACGGGTCGTGGTGCGACTTCCTGCTGCTTTTCGCTGACCACGTGCTGGGAGTCCTGTCTCTCCCTTTGGCCTGGAGAAACGGCCTTGAGCCGAGCGCCCCGGCATGCTACGAAATCCCTAAGCCCGAAACCCTAAATCCTGAACCCTAAATCCTGAGCCCTAAACCCTAAACCCAAAATCCTAAACCCAAAACCTAAAACCCTAAACCCTAAACCCAGTGTTTGGAACCAGGCATTCAGCTCCACCAAACGCCCCACAGAATTTGAACGGGGAGCTTTTTTGGGGGCTAGGCCGCCAGCAACCCCCGACGCCTCATGGCCCCCCCGCTCATGGGACTTATAGGGTTTAGGGTTCAGGGTTTAGGGTTAGGGTTTAGGGTTTTGGGTTTTGGGTTTTGGGTTTTGGGTTTAGGGGTTTGGGGTTTGGGGTTTGGGGTTGGGGTTTAGCGTTTATGGTTTAGGGTGTAAACCCTTTGGAAGTGCCCCTTCTTGGAAACATGCAGGTCGGTCACAAGCGGCTGCCATCCGCGCGCTAATGCCAAGCACCTCTGCAAAGCATGGCAGCCCTAAACCCTTAAACCTTAAATCCTATAAATCCCTTATATCCTAAAACGTTGTATCCAGAACCTTAAACCCTGAAGAGAATCTGGTTCTATAAGACCCTAAAACCCAACACCTTACGCGGTGCATGAAAGCCTAGGGAGCAGGCTTTTGGGATTTTAGGTCTTGCAGATCGAGTTCCGGGAACTGAAGCCCCGAACGGGACCCCCCCCGCGCCCACACAGCCTCAAAATACTAAATGCTCTCATCATCATCATCATCATCATCATCATCATCATCATCATGTATATACATGTATATACATGTACATATGTATATATGTATAAATGTGTGTGTATATATATATATATATGGTCGCCCCCCCCCATGGACCAACCTCTAACCCCAATGGACCCACATCGACATGTCCAAGGTTCTCGAGACACTGTACCCTGCCATCCTTTTCATTTCGCGGTTGGTCCATTGGGGGGGGGGGGGGGGTGAGAATATATATATATATGTCAGTGTATGTGGTGTACCGTTTAGGGATTAGGCATGGGTTCAGTCTTTACAGGCCGTGTATATATATATATATACGTATAGGTAGATAGATAGATAGACAGATAGATATGTCGTCAAATTATTCTTATATGCCTGTAGAGGTTTCCTTGGGAGGGGGAATGTGGACAGTTCATGCCCGCGTACGCAATTATTGTCCTGTATGATGACCGCCTGCATCCCCTCATGTCACTCAGCGAAATAAATCTATGGGGTTACTGTATGCCTATGCTTATGCAGAAGGCGTTGTGAGGTTATGGTATGGCTCTTGTATGCGGTTTGGCCAGCTTGCTTCATGGTTGATGATGCCATGCTTGAGCGCAGAGTGTCGTGCCATCAATGCCTGTACAGTGCTTCGTGCGTCAGCCACAGAGAAGAGAGCAGTAGACTGATCAGGAGGCTTGTTGTAGACATTCGGCGGAGGCCTCGGTGAAAACACAGCATTTGCGCTAGAAGCCCTCTGGCAGGTCAACACGCGAGGTTCCCATGTCACGAGGAAGCTACGAAAAGAAAACCCAAGCCAAAGGTTTTCGGTTCGTGACTTCATCATAGATCTTCTTCTTGTGGCAATCGAAATTTTCAGCCGCTGCAAAACCATCGCTTTCCATAACCGCTGAAAGTTGATGAGATTCTCAAGTCCACATGCTGATTAAACATGCTAATATGCATCTGTGGTATTGTCGGACAGGGTGCACCAGATTTTTCGATAACGTGGGAGAATATGGGAGCTTATACCTTGTCAGGTGGTAGCACAGTGATACCCTTTTGCCTGTTTTGGGGCCCTAAACCCTAAACCCTTAACCCTTAACCCTTAAACCCTAAACGCTAAACGTAAGGGTGGGTACCCTTATGATAATATGGTTCCTGGGCCACCAAGACATACACATGGGTGTTTACGGAAATGCGGGACCCCAATAAGCCCCACATGGGTATTGTTGACAGTTTCCTAAGTGAGGGTCCCTTTGTGCGGAACCCATTAAAAGGCAGCACCCTTTAAAAAGGGGATCCCCAAAAGGGACCCTAAGATTGAGAAAAAACCCACATACACATGGGTATTGCTGAAGTTGGTCAAGCTAGGATGCCCAGTAGTGCCCTTGTTCCCTTTTTGGTAGGTTTAGGTTCCCTTACAAACCCCTTTTAAGCAAAAAAGGGCACCCTTTTTTCATCCTAGGTTACTGGGCAACCTAGCAAGGCATCTTGCAAGTTTGTGGTACTTTACTGTAACTTTAGATCCTTACCTTTTTGGGTTTATTGGGTTTCTTAATAAGGCAGCTAAATGTTTAACTTATAGCTACCCTCCTGAGTGCAGCCAAGTAGTGGATCCATACCACTGTCTTTGGCTATTGGGCTGGGAGCGATGTTTGGGGGATGGAGTCGAGAACTAGGGTTTAGGGATGTTTAGGGTCTAGGGTGTAAACCCTAAAGCCTAAAGCCTAAACCCTAAACCCTAAACCCTAAACCCTAAACCCTAAACCCTAAACCCTAAACCCAAAGCTCCCTAAACCCTCAGGTTTAGGGCAACTCCCGGATCTGGCGTTCGGGAGTCGTTTCAGATTATTTCTTGGGGAGGGTTTTGCTGGGTGCAGTTTCTATTGCTTGAGAACATGAGACCGTCTTCTTGTCGATAATTTCCCTAAACCCTAAACCCTAAACTCTAGACCCTAAACCCTAAACCCTAAATCGAAAACTAGTGCTGCAGAGCCGGCAAATTCTTACAGCACTGCACGAAGAAAGAGGCGCACTCTTCGACCCAAGTATTGCATGTCCGCGGCTGCTCTTCCAAGGTCAAGGGTTTAGGGTTTAGGGTTTAGGGTTTAGGGTTTAGGGTTTAGGGTTTAGGGTTTAGGGTTTAGGGTTTAGGGTTAGGGTTTAGGGCTACAGGGTTTAGGCAGATCCCTACCGAAGCAAGATGCCTTAGAGCCTACTTCTGACTTGGGGGGCCCTACTTGGCTAGAGGGTTTAGGGTTTCGGGCTTACTGGCGAAGATTCGCCCTAAACCCTAAACCCTAAACCCTAAACCCTAAACCCTAAACCCTAAACCCTAAACCCTAAACCCTAAACCCTAAACCCTAAACCCTAAACCTTAGTCGCACACATGCCACCGGCTGCCATGCGCTGCCTGTCCCAACATGGCAAGGGGCAGCTGAGCCCGCTGGAGACTTATGCTGCGACACTGGCAGGGAGTTCCCCGCATGCGTTCCTAGGTAGGTTTCTGGGACATTTTCTATTTTCCTAAACCCTAAACCCTAAACCCCAAACCCCAAACCCCAAACCCTAAACCCTAAACCCTAAACCCCAAACCCCAAACCCTAAACCCTAAACCCTAAACCCCAAGCCCTAAACCCTAAACCCTAAACCCTAAACCCTAAACCCTAAACCCCAAACCCCAAACCCTAAACCCTAAAGGGGCCATCCGAGGTCAATGCCTGCACCTCAGCACCTTGCAGGGTTTCCGATGTACCTATATCCCCCTTGGGAGTTTTTTTCTTTTTAAACCCTAAACCCTAAACCCTAAACCCTAAACCCTAAACCCTAAACCCTAAACCCTAAACCCTAAACCCTAAACCCTAAACCCTAAACCCTAAACCCTACACAAACCCAAGGGGATATCAAACATATTATGTTTAGTAAGTTTCTACTGGGAGTATAGGTACACCGTGCACTTCGATGCCTTCATGCTGATGACGCAAGTTCGGTCGCACGAGGAGCTATTGGAGATAGGCACGCTGGTGGTGTTTGTCAAAGACATGGGCAACTAGGATGCTTAGGGTTTTGGGTTTAGGGTTTAGGGTTTAGGGCTTAGGGAGTAGTACCCTTATTCCCTTTTTGGTAGGTTTAGGTTCCCTTATAAACCCCTTTAAGCAAAAAAGGGCACCCTTTTTCATCCTAGGCTACTGGGCAACCTAGGCAAAGCTGCGTTCATCTCACACCAGTGGCTCGGAGCACATCATCCCGATCCTTATGCTCATCAGCTGCGGGTGATGCAAAGTGCATTTAGAAACCTCTTGCGCGGCACGAGCCAGGTCTCACCGGCCGTCAATGCGGAAGCTGTGAATGGCAAGGTGTCCTGCTCTCTGGCCCATGATCTGCGAGACATGCCCTTTTTCGTGTGGTATGATTACTTTTGCTGCCCCCAGGCCGAGGTCAACAGCGTCGAGAGGCAGCGCGCAATCGACAGCATTCACCACTATGTCGCCATGTGCGAGCACTTCATCGTTCTGTGCCCTGCATTGCGGCATGAGTCTGGTGATATGCTGAATCAGCGAACATGGTCTTTGCGCGGATGGTGTAGGGCAGAACGAGTAGCACGAGAGCTTGCCACTGTGTGCGGCCCGATAATTGCGGTGGAGAGTGAGACGTCTCTTGTACTACTGACAGAACTCGAATCTTGGAAGCAGGCGGTTGGCGACGGCCATTTCACTGTAGATGAAGACAGAAAGAAGATGGCGGGTATCGTGTTGCACCTGATTTACAGCAAGCTCCTCTTCTACCTGCAAAGGCAAGACCTGCCCAACTACAGGTTCATGCTGAACCAGCAGCAGCTGCTCCTGAAAAACCTGGAGATTCACTCCCTCGACCTGTCCATCCCAGGCTTTAGCCCAGGGATCGACCCCTTTCTGGAGCCACAGGCCTTCCTTCTGGCCAGGTTCATGCACGAAACTTTGTGGTACTTTACTGTAACTTTAGATCCTTACCTTTTTTGGGTTTATTGGGTTTCTTAATAAGGCAGCTAAAAGTTTAATTTATAGCTACCCTCCTGAGTGCAGCCAAGGAAAATGGCTTCAGGGAAATCAGTGAAAGGGACAGCTCGGGCTTGTCGCCCATGTGCTACGCCGTGATGAGGGGGTGCCCGGCCATAGTTTCTGCGCTGCTGCAGGGCAGGGCAGCTGGGATGCCCAGTAGTACCCTTATTCCCTTTTTGGTAGGTTTAGGTTCCCTTATAAACCCCTTTAAGCAAAAAAGGGCACCCTTTTTCATCCTAGGTTGCTGGGCAACCTAGGCAGATGTGAACGAGCGCACCAAGAAAGCTCTGGATCAGTTTCTTTTCCCCAAAAACATGACGGTCTTGTGCCTGAGCGCCGTCTTTGGCAACAATGACGTCCTGAAGTTGTTGCTTTCTGAAAGGGCTCATGTGAATGCCAGAGATAGCCGTTTTCATACAGCTCTGCATTGGGCAACTGCGTGTGACAACGCTGAAGCCGTTCGCTTGTTGCTCCATGCTGGCACAGACCATACCCTACCCATGCTCTTCGGCTTAACCCCACTTCACTCAGCCTGTGCTCTTGGAGCCGTCAGTGCTGTGAAAGAGCTGTTGCTGCTTCGGCCTAGCCAAAGCCTCCAACACTGTTTGCACTACGGCTTGATGGTGAACGCAGGCTCGGGCGAGTAACTATATCCGATTTGGGAATCTTTTTTCTATTTTTGTTTATATAAAACCCAAGAGGAAATTAAACAAATATTGTTTTTTATTAAGGTTCTGAGGGGAGTATAGGTTAGTGTCGGCTTTGCTGAAAGCTGACGCAGACGTCAACGAGCAGTTGGACTTGTGGAAGGCAAGGGTCTTCGCACTGTGGATGCTTTTCAAAGCGGCTGGTTGGCGGTACCGCGGCGCACACGCCTCCACCAGACTCTATACTCGGCTCAGGAATAATGTTCTATTCTCGCTTACATAGCAGAACATGTTTTTCAACATTCCAAATGTTTTTGTGATATAAGGGTTCTCAGTTGAGTATAGGACTGACCACAATGGCTTATCATCACTGCGGCGCGACGCCGCTCATCATGAGCATCCTCTCGGGCGGGATGGAGGCGCCAAAGGCGTTGCTACGAGCCGGGGCGCGCCGGGACCTCCAAAATTGTCGTGGGAAACCCACCCGCATTTGGTGGGGGTGTTTAAGGGGGTTTGGGGTTTAGGGTTTAGGGTTTAGGGGGGTATAAGGCGGTTATAAGGGGGGTATAGGGGTATAAGGGGGTATAAGGGGGGGTATAAGGGGGGGCATAAGGGGTGTTGCGGTTAAGGGGTGTGGGGGTGGGAGTGCACTCTAGAGAATGGGTTTAGGGTTTAGGTTAGGGTTTAGGGTTTAGGGTTTAGGGTTTAGGGTTTAGGGTTTTTGTGAGAGCAGCTATACTGGGCAGGTTTCGAAGTTCCAACCCTGTAAGCGCTAACCCTGCACCCCCCAAACCCTCATTAAGACCCAGAGCGACTATAAGCTCCCGACCCTAAACCCTAAACCCTAAACCCTAAACCCTAAAAACCCTAAACCCTAAAAACCCTAAACCCTAAACCCCAAACCCTAAACCCTAAACCCTACACCAGAGACCCAAAAATCCACAGGAAGACTGCCTACGACCTGGCCGTCGAACTGGGAGCCCCGCCGACTTTGGTGGAGGCTCTAAATCCAGAGGCCAGGTGTCTCAAGCGCTGTCGCTGAGGGTTTTGGGGGTTTGGAGGGTTTGGGGGGTTTGGGGGGTTTAAGGGGTTTAGAGGGTTTAGAGAAATTAGAGGGTTTAGAGGGTTTAGAGGGTTTAGAGGGTTTAGAGGGTTTAGTGGGTTTAGAGGGTTTAGAGGGTTTAGCGGGTTTAGAGGGTTTAGGGTTCAGGGCTTAGTTATTTTGAGTTTAGGGTTTGTTGTTGTTGGCGGCCTTTGATGGTGCTGGATGTTGGGGGTGGTGGTGGCGGTGCTGGTTTGCGGGTGCTGTGGTAATGGCTCTTCTTGCTGCTGTTGTTCACTTCGTTTGGTATAGGCACTCCCTAAACCCTAAACCCTAAACCCTAAACCCTAAACCCTAAACCCTAAACCCTAAACCCTAAACCCTAAACCCTAAACCCTAAACCCTAAACCCTACTGATACAAAGGCTTTCCGAAACGGGACCCTCAACTTCTTGGTGAGACCCCCCAGGCTTCCGACATCACGCACCTGCTCGATCACTTCGAGCCGTCTCCCGAAGATGACGACGCAGACATGGTCTCCGTGTATTTCTAGATTCTTTTCTGTTATAGGGGTTTAGGGTTTAGGGTTGGGCTTCTTTCGGGGTACGTCATGGCTTATCATTGTTCAGGATGTTGCTCCTGCTAGGGTCCTAAACCCTAAGCCCCAAGCCCTGTACTGAAAGATGTCACAAATCCACTGAAGGTCACCTGTGGGATGTTAAACGCCCTATCTGGGGGTTTCCGAATTTCGGGGTACCTTATTGGGGTCCTTAACCCTAAACCCTAAACCCTAAACCCTAAACCCTTCTTCTAAGGGAATCCTACCACTTTGGGGGACTCTATCACGGGCCCTGATTTTCGTAAACACCCCTATATCGAGAAGTAAAGATAAGCCCTGCCCCGGTCTGCAGAAGGGTTTAGGGTTTAGGGTTTAGAGTTTAGGGTTTATAGCAATTGTACAGGGCTTGGGTCCCAATAACGGTTTGAGCGAAACGTTTTGAGCAAAAGTTTTTTTTTAGAGCCCGAAGCCCTAAACCCTTAAATTCCTAAACCCTAAACCCTAAACCTTAGACCCTAAACCCTAAACCCTAAACCCTGATTCAGACACGTTGGGGCCTCCCAACCCTGGCCTCCTTTTGGCCCATGGGTCTGAAATTTAGGGATGCTCAGGGCGTAGGATGTGGGGTTTAGCGAGTCGGGCTGGTTTTTTAGGGCTTAACGACCGGCTTAGGGTTTAGGGTCTAGGGTTTCGGGTTTAGGGTTTAGGGTTTAGGGTTCAGGGTTCAGGGTTCAGGGCTTAGGGTCTAGGGTCTAGGGGTTTTACCATAAACCTCATTCACCCTCAATCTGGATCCGTAGTTCCACAAGCTTAGAAGTCTCGGTGGCGGGCTGGGGAAAAGAGTTTGCATAGCAGGTTCGTGCCATGACCCAAACTGGGTATTTCCCCAAATTGGGGTACCCCTTTTATACCCCAAATAGAATCGAATCCAACCCCCAAAAGGGTACCCCTACTTTGGGAATCCCCCAAATGGGGGAAAGTGTTCAGTGTTTCACATAAGCAAGTAGATGTCGGGACTCTTCGGTCTTATCCGAGGGCTCGGATGAGTTGTGGAGGTCGGGGCCAGAACCAGCCCGTATCCGTCCTATGCCTGTTGGGGTTGCTCATATTCCAAAGACAGCATTTCAACCGTAAACCCGAACCCGACGAAGCCTCGTTTTCCATTGTCCGAAGCATGCCCCCGACTCAAGACTAAATTCTTGTGGACATGAAAAAGTTCGTGTGTTGCGAGCTGCAGCCTATTCTATCTCCACCATTTGTGGTCTTGTGCTGCTTTTGCGCCGGGGGTTCGAAGATCAAGTTCTAGGTTCGGATGTTCAAGATGCAACTATCTTTCTTTCGCCTTGTTCGGATATTCTGAGTTGAAGGAAGTTTCTTTCGTGCCCAGATTGGGTATGATTATGGGGATTGCGTGTGGGATGGAACTCTTGAGTTGTAGAGTGCTCACGATTCTTTTATTGGGATGGTTGGTTAGTCAAACGGCAAATTTGCAAGAATGCATTCTTACTAAAAACTCCCGAATATCTTCCATTGTGATGGTTTTATCTTTCTTTCCGGCTTCTTATGGGGTACGTTGTCATTTTTCGGAATCTTCATTATCTTTTTTTATTTTCATTTTTCTCGGGTCCCTCATTAATTGGGAATGATGATGGGTTTTTGTATATATTGAAGTATCTTGGAGAATATCGACTATATATTATTAATATTTTTGGAATCTCTGGAGATTTCTAATTGGAATTTTTTGGGCGTGGAATTCGTCCATGGAATAAAA